TTTCCAACCATTTGGAAAAAAAAAAACTTGCTCTCAGAAGCTACTCCCTTAAAGAGCTATGAATCAAATACAGGTTCATTCCATGCTGAAAAGCAGAAAGAAAATCTCGTTTCAGTTATCGGTTCGTCTTCATAAATTAACAGACGAAACGTTTCATCTTTGTTCTAATTTTCAGGTGGAATCTGCCTCTTGCTTCTTAGCAGCCCCACACTCGAACCCGCCAGGACGCAGGCCTGGCCAATGCATCAGTAGAAGTTCGAAAGCCCTTCTTTTCTATCAAAGCCCTGTTTTCGAGGGGCACGCAAAATTCAAAACAGATGTTACAATGCCCAAAAACTGACATGCAACCCATTCAGAAAACGCATTCTCCAGTTCACTGCCCACTGTCTCAGGCCTTTCTGAGGGCCCTTTGTCCCTGCGCAGCCTTTGTTCTCCAGCAGCACAGACACTTATGGTCCCGATAACCACACTAGGAAGAGCCTGGCACACGCACACCTTCAACTCGTGCAACACTCAAGAAACACAGATTCTTCGTCCAGAAATAAAACCAATTCAGGCAGGAAGGGTGCCCTAGGAGCTAAAACTCAAAGTTGTATCTGTCAAAATTAAAATTGACACTTTAATATGAAACCCATACGTTTCCTGAAAGGGATAAACTGTCAACAAAGTCTGCACGTCTGACTTTCCAGAGAATAACAATACTCAGGCCTAAGTCCACTGCCTGCAGAAACTGAGGGCACGGAAGTTCACCCTCTTTTAGTAGGGTGACACCATTATAGGAGAGGTTCACCTAAAGGCGTCACCATACAAAAAGTTGTTTGTGAAGACAGAATGAGATAACTGGTGGTTCAGGAGGCAGGTACCATAGCGCCAGACCCCACTGCTCCAGCACACTGATGGGAGTGAAGCCATGCACCTAGAACACTATCGGATCACGCCCAGGCCATGCCATGTCACTGAACTGCGTAAAGGCACATCTGTGTGCTCCACGCGCCCCGGCCTCCTCTGGCTGCCGGGCAGGTATGGATCTTCATGATCTCGGGCTTCGGGGGGGGCAGGCACCACTTGAGTCCGAGTGCTGCTCGCCACAGGTCAGGCTCCTTGGTAACATCCACGTTTTCCTTCGCCCGCTCCAACCGGAGCAGCCGAGACCCTCACGCAGACACTCGAGATTTCAATGGCTCTAGCGCCAGTCCCCACTGCCCCTCCTCCTCCAGGCCACTCAAATCAAAACAAGCCTGTGACAGACAAGACGGCTCTGTATTCCTCTGTTCCTGCAGCAGTACTGCCCTTCCCCAACTGCATATCAAACTGAGCTAGAAACTCTCGCGGCGAGACTTAAACCGAAGGGCTTTCAAAAAGGCTTTCAAAAAACAGAGTCTGCCACTTGCATTCTTTACAAAAAGGAGAGGTGGCGCATTCTTTTCTGACTTACACATTAAAGGAAAAAATAACTCAGGGAAACATAGGGCTTACACTGCAGAGTGGATTTGGTGCCAAGAATAACTGATCAGATCCAGTCATGGGAAAAGTGATCAACTTGATGCTTCATCGCCAAAATCTGTACAGCCACCTGTGGCCTTTAAAATGTTTATTTACAACTAAAACATTTAATTGTCGCTCTGTAAAATGTACAGACATTTGGACTTCCATTTCCGCAGAGCATCGCAACTTACTGACCTTCTCAAGTGTCTGTTTCAAACCTATGATGCCTTTCTGCAAGCAGAAGGTAAGACCTTTGCATTAAAGAAAATCCTATTGTGAGCAAACAGTGTTTCACTTACAGTTACACCGCTAAATCATTCTACATGGAACAACCATCCCGCCGAGAAAAGAGAAACCCGAAAATAAAAATAAAACGTATTACCCGGCAGATAAGTCGCAAAGCTTTTCCTCGCCACTCTAACAAAGCAGATTTTGGCACTGCAGTGTGAACACAAACACGGCAGGGGAAACTCAGGCCAGAAACAACTGCAAATAAATGCTAGGAGGAGATGAGCTTTTATCTTGCGGTCAGCCCTTCACCCTGAGAACTGAGCAAAGATGAAATTGGTTGACTAAAGCACAGTCTCATTTTCTCAAACGCAAACAAAAACAAAAACGGACCACAGCCGGACTGCCAAGTTTAGCTTGTGTGCAAGACATGATATGTCGCAGCTATAATGAGGAGTCTTGGGCTGTCATCTCGCCACAACCCAATAAACAATGTCAAAAAGCACAGGTTTTTAAAAAAATGAGGCCAAAGAGAAAGACAGAACCCCTAAATTAAAATCTTATAGCATGTCTACCAGCCTGGAAAAGAAAACCAAAGCTAAATGCCAAAAAATGCATTCAAAAAGGTCCCGATTTAAGTCTGGAAACACTGGGAAGGGTAGTTTGACATAGGCCTTCTTCACTTCAACGCCAAATTAGTTAAATTAACAAAATCACCGGTTTAATTGACCACAACAGAATTGGTCCAGATCTGGAGAAACCGGCGATTTAATGGTGATCACAAAGTCTGCAGGATCGGGGCTCTCCAGGACCAGGCTGGAAGATCCCTGTTAACGACTGATCCCGTCGCATTGCACAAACGAAGCAAAGCCAGGCCTGCTCAGTAGGAGTTGGGAGGCCTCCCAGGATGTTGTAAGTTGTGTTGGTGGACAGAAAGGTGGCAACCTTCCCACTTGACCCAAATTTCCAAAGCAATGCTCCAGTATGATAGATATATGATAGCATGCTGTAGGAGGCCCATTCGTCTGATGAGGCCTTAAAGCGAGGCAATGACGACATGGTCACAAAAGATTCCACAGCATTTTCAAAAGAGCATGAAGGGTCAACCCTGGCGTCCTGGCTAAAACGAGCCTTAAGAGAGTTTTTCTTTAATTAAAACGCCAACAATGTCTCACTTCTCTGTCTGATGCAGCAGCAGATATTACCTAAATCGGTTCTGTACTCGTGCAGAAGTGAAGCGAGCTACCTCCTATACCTAGAGGGCTTCAAGATCCTCTGGGATCTTCTAATAAAAACACTGTAAGCACTAACATGGCACACGACAGAAGAGGTCAACTAAACACACATTTAAAAAAATCGTATCACATTGTATTCCATCCACAGACCAGGCAGCTAATGGAACTATACTGAAAGTCCTCTGTGCTTCAGGAGTGCAGAACAGGGCCGAACATGAAAGCTGGGTTTCTCAGGGTCCTGGAAGGAGTGTTTAGTTGGCCACTAAACATCAGATGGTTATAATTACAGGAGGGAGCAAAGGGAAATGTATGTTTGATTAATCGCTACATCTAAAAAAATAAACCTTTTCCTTATGTGCAAATTTTCCACTGAGAAAGGTTAACAAAGACATGTGGTAGAGACCTGCACATGACAGTAACTGATACAAGTCTATAAGCAGGACACCGACAAGACGCCCCCTGCAGCCTCCTTGAAATACCTGTAAAGAAAACAGTGATTCCAACTATTTTCCAAAAACACTGCAGACGCATGGGGAAACACATCAAGTGCAGCTTCTACAGGAGACAAGCTCTGCTTTTCCAAGTAGGCGGCACATTTAGAAACTACAACAGTAGTACTGAAGTTAAACTGGCAACAGTGTTGCAGACATTTTCACACACCTACTTTAATGGAGAACTACTAAAGAACAACCAGGCATTTACCAAAAATGCCTCAAAACAAAAGAAAAGAAATTAAGCTCACACTAAACTGAAACAAATGACTGAAAGGTAAAGATTAAAAGGCCAAATTAAAATTGTTAATGGTTTATCGTTCCTAGGACCCATGCTCATTTGAAACTCAAAAGCAGATTTACAGTGAATTTATTCCGCAGAAACTTAATAAAAACATAGGCTAATTTATGCGGCAACTTTATGCACACACGCTTACCACCATTTCAGATGTAGAAAGCCGAGTTTAAACTTCTTACACTGCACATTTTAATCTCCAGGAACACAGGTAAAACATATGTAGAAACAGGTTTTCTAAAAAGAAAGGCCTGTGTGTAAAGAAACATGATCCATCCCTGTCAGCTTAGTTGCCCTGCCAGCAATCAGAGCACATGCATATCCCCACCACCATGACAGGAAAGCAAAGGAAATATTTAAGGCACTTTACGTGAACACTGCTAGCAACCTAAACACTCACGGGGAGCCACAATTTACTGAAGCCACTGCTTTGCCTTTCCTACAAAAAAAGACAGGCTTGACCAGCGGTCACTGACACTGCCATAAAGAGTGAGCATTTTGAGCCTATGGGGAAAAAAAAAAATCTCCAACACTGAAAGCTCAATCTAAAGTGAATTTCTTGGTAAATCGTCAGTAACTTTTTATATTTCACAAAAGGTTGCGATGAAAGCAGTTTTCCAGCCTTAAGTGTGCTTTATTGTGCCACACTTTTTTTTTTTGTTGTTGTCATCACATTTCACAATAAAAAGGAGCCCGGCAGAGCAGTAAACAGCAAATTAACGACCAGGGCAAAACAGCGATCCAGAGAGGGGGGAGGAAAACAACACAAAACTTCACACTTGACCTTTAACTTCCAATGTAAACAGAGCCGGGGAGCAAACGTGAAGCACCAAGCTCCCAACGCTGAGAAAATAAACGGCATGCTTGGTTTGTTTTACTCCTGGGCCGAAGCAGATGCCCATTTATCCAGACCTGCCCCTGGAAGTGAAACATTCCTCAGCCGCCGGGGCCAGGGGGGCAGACGCCCGGGCTGATCTCGCCCCCTCGCGCGTGCTCGCTCTCTCTCTCTCACTCCGAGCTACAGGACGAGCAGCACGTCGGCCGCCCCAGACCTCAAACGCGGCCGCGGCAGCGGAGGTAGCGGCTGCGGCCTTTGTTCTTGTCCTAGATCGCATCGCTCGCATTCACACGGGCGGGCCTGAAACCCGATCGGAGTTCGGCTGGGGAGGAACAAAAGCCCAGTCTCGGAGGGGGCAGCAGCTCACCAGCTTCCTCCCGCCATCCCCACACACACACACACCACCCTCCCCCCGGGGTAGTACTCACCCTCTCGCTGGATCCAAAGTAATAGCCCGCGGCTGATCCAGGTCCTGCCAAAACAGCACTTTCCTTAAAGATCCATCTAAATTGGACACCTCGATCCGGTTGGTTTCCGAGTCTGTCCAATACAGTTTGCTCCCGAGCCAGTCGCAGGCCAGCCCGTCGGGGGACACCAGCCCCGAGACCACCACGCTGTGCACGCTCCCGCTTTGGTTAAAGACAATTCTTTTGATTGCTTCCTCGCTCACGTCGCTCCAGTAGATCAGACCCTTCGAGTACACGAAGTCCACCGCCGCCGCGTCCTCCAGCCCGCTGACCACCACCGTGGCGTTCCCCTGGCCGCGGGCGGCGTCCACCAGCCTCAGGTCCCTGCGGTTTGCATAAAGTAGAAGGGGCGCCCCTAGGAGACCAGAAACAAGAGTTAGGTTCGCCGTCCGCGCAGCAACAGCCACAGCGTGGTGTGTAAAACAGTATTTGCCTTTTGGAGATTTTATTGAAAAGCACAGCAACACCGGTACTCCTCACCAGTACTCCCAGCTCCTTGGCCTGTGTTGAGAGTCTAGCACTCGCGGAAAAGAAACGAATTCACACGGGCAATTCCTCGCGTTTCTACTTGCTCCTCAGCACGAAGGAGTCTGTACAGAACTCAGGGTGTGGAAAGCTGTCCTTGAGCACCTCAACCCAACAGGGTCAGGTCACGCAGTTAAGCATCCACGCATTGCTCAACGCTTTCAAGGACAGGACCAAAAATCTCGCCGCCTTACCCAAGGACCTGCTGGCACAAAACCCGGACCAGCTGGGCTGTGGCTTCAAGCCTGTTCTTGTGTCGTCAGTTCTCACTTCCGACAAATTCCTCAACGCCACCTTAAATAATCTCTGCAGAGGATAAGACTCTGTTAATCTGACTCATATTTACCACAAAAGGGTGGCAGGACTTGAATGAAAAGCTATCCAGGCAGTTGCCTACTGCAGAATTAAACCCGACACGGGTCACACACATTTCTTATTTTCACAATCGTTTGTTAACCCAAGCACTCCGGTCCAGCCACCAACTACTCCAGGACATGCTGGGTTCCCCTGTTACAACAGGTAAGCGCTGGGTAGGAACAATCCTCAACTGTAAAAGATTTTCCTTTTCTATCCAGTCCAGAAACAATCATTTTTTTTACCACAATAAGAAAATATTTTAAATGAATTTAACACACAACAATAACCAAAATCATCAGTATGAGAAAAACCTGGAAGCAGCTTGAAATTCATCGGAAAAATGTTTGTTGCTTTACACATCTCACAACTAAGAAAACCGTAGCACAGCTGAGCAAATGTATCACTTCCACCTAGGATGAACATGTTGAGCTGGAAGTGATAACCTGCCTTCCCACTATACAAACATTCAGCTGACGGGACTGGATTCTACACATACTACTAAGTGTCCTTTACTTGCAAAAAACCTGTAATAATCAGACAGATTTTGCATTGCTAAAATAAGCAAAATATTCGAACTGCATATGGCTCATACACCTTTTGTGTATATTTGCATTGTAAAAAAATGTACCTGTACTCATAGAACATTTTAGATCAACTTTCATTTCCCCCCTATAAAGCTTGGAAGCAATTCAAACCCCAACTTGACACATCCAGAGCCACTGCCAATGTATCAGCATCTCGGTCAACCTCAAGCTCCCTGCTCCCAACCAGCTCGCTGTTTTTTTTCCACACAGGGAATTTCCTTCTATAAATATTTATAAACTCAAGAAACACCGGGTAAGTTCACTGAAGCTGTTCCAAAACTACTAATCCCCTCTTGCCAAGTGTAAACAGAAGGAAAATTACATTTTGGGCCACTTAATATTTGGCCACGGATAAGCTGGAGATATCTGTTCACCCTTTTACACCCTTGCGGTAAAAACTTTTTTTCTTAGACAGGGGGCTGCTACACACTGGTGTGAAGAGCGCAAATGTTGATTTTTTTTCTTCTGGGGGCCGTTTCACCTATATTTTGAGATGCCTTGTTTCCGTTCTACTTCACTGGAAACATTATGTCGTATTAACACTTCTCCCAGCGCCACAGCCGGTCCCCCAGCACCGCCACACACCTTCCCCGTCAAGATAAACGCTTTCTCACAAAAGTCCTTCTTCGATATTCTTTCTGACTTTTTAATGAGAAAACAAAAGAGGCTGCTTATCACAGGGTTTTGTTTTGCTGAAAGAACATCATTCCAGCTAAGAGAATAAGGTATATGCTGTTAATATAAACCAGGCTCTCTCTGCTCAACTACCCACCTTGTAAAGCTTAACTAGGGCCACAGTATTTGCAAAAAGCTGGACGAATATTTCCAGAGAAGGAAAACTCCCGTTAGGAACACCTTGAATTTATTTAATAACACTTTGATAACTTCAGCACAATCACACAGGGGGTTATTAATTAGAATGTTTCATCAATGTTGCTCATTGTACCCGCTGGGGCCTTGTCTGGAATTAAGATGGTGTTGACTGATCTTGAAATCCACAAATCCACAGTTCCTACATGAAAGCTTCAGTTTACAGGCTTCTTTTCCTTGTAAATAACATACGGCAATATGGCCACCAGATGGAAGATTCCCCTTACACTGGTTCCAGCTTCCACTTAATAAATGTGACAAAAGTATCGACACGCATAGAGAGAGAAGTCACACTGATAAGATGTTACAAAAGGCTACACTAAAGCATGAAAAGTCCTAGCAGAAATTACAACCACTGGCCCCCAGACTGCGCTGGAAGATTCAGAGGAATGTAATGTGTGAGTTTGTTGTTTGCAAAGCTCCACTTATGACACTACATTGATGTTATCTGCTGGGGGAAAAAAAAAAAACACTGGATTTTTTCTCTTCTCGAAGCGAAAGGAATGCTGGTAACATGCAGAGGCTGTTACACAAAGAGCAAGGTAAGGAACAGTCCACTTGTCATTCCTTGCAAATAATGGAGAAAGAAAATGCGCCACAGAATGCCAACAGTGTCACAGCTTCATTTATGGCAAAACGGTAATATCTGCTAATAACTTCAATGATGGCAAGGCTAGACGCCACAAGAAATAACTAGAAAGAAAACAACTCTTAAAATTAAAGATGGAGGCAACATGGTTGCCTCCACCGCAGACCGACCATCTGCTACTTCAATTTACACCAACAAATACTTCCCAGACCGATTTCTGAGGCCTCCTTCTGCAGTGCCCACACTGCAGCGACGGGCAGAGCTCTCTCTAATTTGTTAGAAGTTTATGATCAGAATTTCAATTGTTTTAAATGAGACCCAATGGCCACAAAGTGGGCAATCTCATAACTACATGCCTTTGGCAGCATAATGGATTGTTAAGCCAACGATGTGAACTAGGCACAAATAAAAGCCTTAAAAAGATCAACCCCGACAGACACCAAATTAACACTCCAGGAGATGTTTTTTTTTTTTTCCTGCAGGCTCCCACTGCGGGTGAAAGTCATCCCTATCCTGGACGTATAGGGCGTGAAACAGAACTACATTGAGGATAGGATGCCAGTACATCTTGGGGCACATGCACACAGCAGCAGCTTAAAGACAATGCTGCCAGCGGGTCTCTGGAGGGTGGGAGGAAACCACAGCACCTGGTGAAGGCTCGCACCAACACAGGGAGAACATGCAAACTCCACACACACACACACACACACACACACACACACTGCCCCAGTCCAGACTTAAAATCTGGAACCATGGACTGTGAGAGGAAGCAGCTATAAGTGACACCTATAGATTAAATAAAAAAAAAATACACTTCTGATGTACACTAAAGCAAATGTCTGCAAAACACGAAGGTGTTTGATAAGGCTTATTTGTAAGAGTGGTCAGTTTAAACGTGTTAGTAATAGGAAATTGTCAGTAACTTTAAATCAGTTTGAAATAAAAAGCTGAAATAGTCCCGTCCTGTGATTACCTTTACTGTATACATTTTAACTAAAACTTTCCACATCAACTATCCGCAATTACGCAAACGTTTTGTGAAAACAAAGCTGTACAAGATGTATGTTTTCTTATCTGTCTGCACGTACTGAAAGACGTGACTAAATCTACACCGTATGTCACATTTATTGACATTTATCTGACCAAGTTCAACCCCCTTGGAAATCACGCACAGCGTGCAATGAAACAATTAAAATCCAGTGTAGGTTAATTGAGGGGGTCCATCTCCTACACCCCATTTTCCAAACTTTGACCACAAATGATTTTCGAGTTGAGTGGATGTTTGCAACACAACAAATTCAACAAATGAGTGTTTTAAACCTGCATACAAGCTGTACCATACAAGCCACGGAAGCTTGTTTTGTGTAGCACAAATCTCCGCCGATCTAGTCCAGCCAAGTTGGGTTAGTCATTCAAACTTTGTGCTGAAATAAGTTAAAACAAAGCTATGCGAGCATCTTCCCTCGGCCAGAAGTGTGCATATTGTCTGCTTGTTCTGATTTCTTTACATTTCAGAATCCATTTTCAACTCCGAAACAGATTTACTGCTAAAACAAACGCGTGTGAATGAAGGCGACAGAGACCGTTTAAGACAAGGCAGGAAAACGTTTGCCAAAAAAAAAAACATTGCAGTGGAGCAAAACGCTCTTGTATCTTCTTTGAGGGAAAAAAATAAAAGGGGTACCTTTTCAAAATACAACACAGAACAATCAACATTCACGGCATTACATCGAATTCAAATAGAGAGCGTGGAAAGGACAGAGATATAGCAGCACATATCTGGGATATCCACATCCCATTCACCACACACTCCCATATACTCATAGATCGGATACTACTACGAGCAAGGTACCCTATACGCAGGGCCCCACTCATTTGCACGCAAGGCCTTGTGCAAAAAAATGGCCACTTCTCAAAAGGCTTTTCCCAACTTTCCAGAGAGCAAAACCCACCCGCGCCACAAACTCACCTCGTATCACAGAACAGAAACTACACAACAGGAGACTCCGTAGCACGGCGCCCATCTTTCTCCCTCTCGCTTGCCCCCGCGGCGGCCGCTCAGCGCGGAGCTCTCATGCCCGTGTCTCGCCGCTGCCTCGGAATGGTCGGGTGCGGAGAGCGCTGCTGAGACCGAGCTGGCTGCGATGCTGCTATATCATTATTCTCCGCTCCATTCCGCTCCTGCTTCAGGCTCTGCAGCGCTGCGATTCCAAACCCCTCATTCTGCTGCCCGGGCGCAACAACACGTTGGATTTCAATTCGTCTCCTTCCGCCACGGGAGAAAAATGCTAACCCTCCCCCCCCCCCGCATGCACGCACACACACACACGCACGCACACCACCACCTTTTTCCCTTCTTTCCCTCCGTTTTTTTCTTTAAAACACACTCGACTCGCGGCTATTGTTGTAGGCACTGCCAGGTACTCCGCACAGGCAGCGGAGTTTCTCAAAGCAGAAATAACCAGAGAGACTGTAGCAGCGGCTCTGTATTTTTTGTGGAAAAGAGAAAATGCGGGCTTCTACAACAATTGTTCAGGAGCGCAGAAACACATTCCAGAGGGACTAGTTTCTCACGCCGTGATTGGTGCTTCGGTTTAGAACAACATACCCCTGTGACCCTGCTTGTGCTGCTGGATCTTATTTTTCTGTGTTGGGGAACGGAGTGGGTTTGCAGACAGTCGGCAAGAGGTTTTGTTGTAGTGATTTGCGTTGTCGTTTCTAAAAATAAAGAGTTTCTGAAACTGATTTTTATTTTTTCCCCCCCAAAGGTTATGTCTGAAAATTAATCCATCATCTGTTATACATCACAGAGTTTTGAATGTTGCTGGTTACAAACGAACAGGCCATTCACCCCATGTCGCTCCTTTGGGTGCTAGTCGTCGCTAATTGATTCAAGGTGCTTACTCTGACGTTTCTGGAGGGAAACCGGGGTATCTGTTTCAACAGCATAACTGGGTGGCTTGTTCCAGACTTCCACAAACGTTCAAGTAAATAAGTACCTCCTGTTCTCCAATGATAAATCGCTTAGTCTCCGCGTGAAGCCAGCTAGGAAAAAAGTAGCTAGAATAACAAGTACACAAAAGTTTCACCTACTTGTTGATATTTTTGTAAGATGATATACGGTATGTACTTTCTATCAGACTGGAAGGATGGTTATGTTTAACTAATTTTTTAACACACAAAGGCTGTGTTAAACCAGTCTGTGAGACAGAATATTTAGATAAGGAGTTTCACTTACAGTCTGTAGGAGATTGGGGACGTAAAATCAATAATCTTTTACCTTACGTGTACAATATATGGCACCATAGAGAGTGTTTCTTGTCTACTTGTCTACTTTTTGGATATACTCAGCCTTTGTCTTCTGCTGTTCCACTCCCGACAAACTACACTATGTTAAAACCAGTGAAGATGACTGTTTCCCAGAAGTTAAAGTAAAGCATTAAAATCTCAGCAGATCCTGTTTTCAATACAAGTATCTGTAATATGAGTACGTAGAGTCTGTGAATGAGTCAGTTCAATAGTAATCTGTCTCAGGTTTAGATGAGTGCTTTGATTGTGGATCTCAGATAGAATCTTCACCTGAATAACTCGACAGAACGGCATGGTTGCAAAAGAGCAAAAATCAAGCTCACAGTAATAATTAGGATAACTGAGACTTTGTTCACAAATAACAAAAAATCATAAATATTTTTAAATCATATTCTGCTACATAACACAAAAATCCTGTCTTAAGAAAAATACTTTATAGTTGTTCTCTTTCACCATTTTGTTTATTCTTAATATTCTAAAAAGAGAGAATTCACAAGCTTATTTCATCAGCACGGTAGGTTTTCTTTCAGTTCAGTTTGAAATGATAAACTATACATACAGTATGTGTTAACATTTGAAGGTCCTTCCATTTTAGATGATTCTGTGCGCAAACATGCTGGTCAAGCCAGTTGCACAGTAAATGTACAGAAAGTAAGTCTCCACCTGCATTGCTGCACTGTACTGTACGTCATTAAAGCAAAATAGGCTGCAAAATACTGCAGTGTACAGTGTTATACCTATAGTTTCTGGATCTGCGTAACAGACAGGATATGAAATTGACAACATTCAACTAAGGACAGATTTTGGAACTTTTCAACTGTTAAAAGCAGAAGGTCAAAGACATTATGCCTAAGTAAGTGTGATATACTGTACATAATGTGCTTGAACGTAGTGCCAGTAAAGAAGCTTTGGGCAGTAGTTGTGATTAAAGATGTACAGATTTTCCCAAATACCTTCTGAGAACTGTGTCGGATTTGTGTTGTAAATCCAAAATCAAAGGGATACGTTATATAGAAATGATTGAAACGGAATAGTATTGCTGACTCCGATGGTTTCTGGAGCATTTCATTCATTTTAATACTAGCACTTAAGGACAGCTTGTGTGGAAAGGTTTTCACTTGTATGAATTACCCAGGGAAAGAAGGCATCCGATAAAGTTATTACAAGTATACAATAAGCCTGGCTGTCTTTTTCTGTAGCCTGTCCTCAAATGATTTAGTGAGATTTTCCTGTGTGAGAAAAACTACATAGTGTCAGCTGGAAAAATGACATTTTTATTTCCACATTTTAGCACTATTTATACCTTTTGTCATTTTTTCATTCAATCAAAATAAACCACAATGTGCCTTAACACAAAAACATATGAACAGATGCAATAACACCGGAAGAAGCTTAGGAAGGAACCCTTTAAATGCAGGATCTTTCAAAGAGTCTCTTTCGTTGGGTAATTTGTTTCAGTGTTACATATTATAAACCACCAGAAAAGAAACAAAAATGCAAGGACTTGGAAGGTCATTGAATGAAAATATTCATCCAACACTCATCTTAAACCTCATTGTATTGTCTTTTCCTCTATGTACTTTGCATTTACGTTTGTCATAATACAACAGTTCTCTAGAACCCATTAGAAAGGCTGCAGTCTGCACTGTGATGCAATAAACCCATCCATCCATTTTCTAATCACTTTATCCAATTCAAGGAATTGGCACAAGGCAGGATACACCCTGAATGGGATGCCAGCCCATCACAGGGCAGACACAGACACAAACACACACTCACACCTGGGCCAATTTTCCCAGAAACCAGTTAACCAACCAGTATGTCTCTGGACTGTTGGAGGAAACTGGAGCAGCTGGACCAAACAAACATGAACACAGCGAGAACCTACAAACTCCACACAGATAGCACCCCAGGTCTGGAATTGAACCCAGAGCCCCACCGCTGTGAGGCAGAAATGCTGGCAAATTGCATCACCATGCAGCTCAATAAAATATTGATAATAAAAATACAACTATTACATTTTCAACTGATCACATATCGAAGGCTTCAGCGGGAAGAAGGAGGTCTTTAAGTGAATTTCTGAAGAAGGTTTTTATGGGAGCTTTATAAATGACAGCAGTTGCAAAGTCTCTAATGGATCTGGGCAGTCAGTTAAACAGCAAGCAAGAAGGCTCAGTTGCCATGTCTTTAGCAGAGTAAGAACTCCCTGGACTATACTCACGCAATAGGTCCCTAATATAACTTGAAGCTTGGCCATACCATTTTTGAAAATGGGAGCCAGAGCGATTTTAAGAGGACGGAAGTTATGTGCTAATGCAAGGTACTTTTAATTAACACATGAGCTGCATGATTCTGGACATACAGTACTTAAGCCTGTTTAGTACCTTAGCACATACCAAGTCCAGCAGGTAAGGCATTAAAGCAGTCTAAACTGGATTAAATAAAGGCATGTATCAAATTTTCAGCATCAGAACAAGGCAGACCAAGGGTCTTATCAAAGCAATGTTTGACATGCAGAAAAAGACATGCTTATAATGTTCCTTACATGCACTTCAAATAACAATGCAGGATCAAAAGTAACATTGAGGTTTTTAACCCTCATCAAGGGTCTTATTTTAGTCCTATCAACATCACTGAATTGATCAGCTTTGAGATGTTGGGAGTTTATGAGTTTATTAACCTCAGCCTTGTCTCAGTTTCTGGGAAACATATTTTAATACCCGGCAGACACTTTAGAACTATAGCAGTAGTATTTGATTTGTTGTGCAAGTAAATCTGATCTTAATCAGCAGTGCCATCTGAATCCATTATATAATCTGACAAGAGGCAACATGTAAACCCTATAAAAGACCCAGCACAGAAGTCTTTATGGATTGTTTCCTGGTTTTCAAACAGGATCCAACATGAGGAGACCCAGTGATCCATAGAACATTTTCCCAGACGTACAGCAGGATATCATGATTGTATCAGGATGCTATGATTATCTGCCCTTAAATTAATAAGGAGAATATTAAACGAATCAGAAGCCATCAGCCAATCATTTACTACCTCAACCAGGGTAGTTTTAGTAGAAGGAGCAAAGAGCTCATTAGATATAATATTTGATAGTATGGAAAATCCCAAGAATGGACATTGCAGCTCAAGGTAATATTACAGTTAAATTGTTACCAGAGGCAGTATCAATTCTGATCTGCATACTAGCACCAAGCTATGATGGTGACCATACAACTTACTCTGTTCCGTAACAAAGAAAGAGAGGGGCCATAGACTCCATTTTGAGACCCAAAACCAGGATACAGTGAATGTTGTGGTGGTATTGAGTTAAAGCGAGGTTTGTTACTTAAAAGCAACCCAGCCATGTTGTTGAAGCCAATGCTTTGGCTTCAAACAAGAAACAGTTGGATGAGATCTTTGAAATCAGTTCACTACTAACTACTGAATGGGCTAAATGAGCCGAATGGCTTCCCTCTATTTGTAAAATTTCTAAATAATATTGCTGTTTAAAAATAATTTATCAATGTCTTCCTTTCCTGAAGAGGTAGAGGCTGTGGAAACATACAGGATTTGATAAAGAGCTGATGTTATGAGTTCAGTATGTTTCTCTTTATGATGGTGAAGCAAGACTCCTTCCACAGTATGTACTTTAAAATTACAGTAAGTGAAATGGTATTAACACTTTATTTACCATATCTGAAATGTCTTTTAATCCTCTTGGATCCCATATTTATAATTTGTGCAGAACTGAATGTTGCCACTGCTGAATGACAGTTCATGCAAGTATCAGATACTTACAAAAGGATTAAAAGAATCCTGTGAGCTCCAATAAGCCATGATCAAGGAGCTGCAAGTGCAAAAGATTCATACATACAAAATCTCAAAGATGTGCCTAATGACAGAGCTCTCCACTATGGCAGAATTCACTACTGTCTCTGTATCATAGGGGTGACATCAGTTCCATTAATTTACACTTTGCTGTTTTTCTGAGA